CCGGGGGCCGCCAAATTATGCAAAATTTCCTTCAGAATATAATAAAAAGAAAATTGATGTATAACCGAATATCGTATCGAAAAGTGAAATAAGAAAGATAAAGTTTTCGTATTTAGTTTTTTTTTATTTATTTCTTATTTCTTCCTACATACAACTTTGTTAGTACAGAAGAAATAAATGCGAATACGCTACTTACATCGCGGTATTTACTTCTTTTATTCCAAAGTCATTCTAAGAAACTATTAATGCTTGGAATTTTAAAAATAAAGCGATAATAAAAAAATCAATTTATTATAGATAATTTAAAAAATATAAATTATTATTTTAAAAAATGGGGGTGACAAAAAATTACGAAATATTTGGTGGGCCGCGAGTATAAAAAGGTTAAGAACCACTGGTCTATAAGACCGTATTAATTCGTGAGCGTACCCGGCAATAAATGGGGAGCCTCGCTTTCTTAAAGGCCTCGTCACGCCGTTCATTAATATTTTTCTTCTATATCTTTACCTACGCGGCGCGTTCAATATAAATTGGGTCGGGAACCTCAAAAAATGCCTAACGTGGTTGCCTTTGCGCGTACCATATCTCGTACGCCCGCGTGTATCTATCCGCGAATACCTATTTATGTGTTTTTATATATACATCACTTATAAATTTAGATAGAACATAAATAAATGTAGAAACATACACATAAAACAGACATAACAGAAAGATACAGAGTAGACACACAAATAGGAGAGGCATTGGCAGATAGATACCGACAAGCACAGGCGGAGACACAAAGGTACAAACACAAAACAGCACGCACGCACCAGATATTCTAATAAATCGTACGAATGTATAAAGAATAAATCGCAACCTACATCCATACATATATTACGCAGTCTCCCGGTTTTCAATACGGCTCAACAGAAAATTAACAACGCTATAATTAATTTTCTAAAATTAAACATAATCATTTCGATCAATCAAACGACATTTTAAATACAGAAATAGTCGAATGTATAACGGGTCGTATAAACTAGTATAAGTAATCGTACCCACTTCATTATAATTAGCACTCACTTGTACGAATATCTTTTTAAAAACTTCATGGCCGGGTATTAATCGTTAGCATTTTTCACACTTTAACACGGGCAGAAGAAGCAAAATATAAGGAAAATCGACCTGGCATCGGCAACAAAGCATTTATGACATTTGTACGGTTGACTAACAACGTCTGCCATGTACTGTACTTCCGGTGTACGAAACTGTGACGTAGCGGCTAACCCGGCGGAACACTGGGCTTATCGACAACCGGAAGGAATAGGGAAAAAAAGCAGTTTATTTTAAAAAAATGGGGATATTTTATCTAAGCTTAAAATCGCGATGGTAACGGAATGCTCGGCATCGACTACGCAAGAATTATAATTACGTTTAAACTTAATCAGAAACATTTTTTTCTGAAGTTCGGCCGGTTGCCAGGAGGTCCATTCACGAATATAACTTAAAAACAAATCGTTTTTCGTGTTTATAAATATTATCAATTGCCTAAAGGTCACGTTATCGATCGTTTAGGGAAATCCAAAATTCGAAGTAACATTATAGGCCGTATCGTAGTCAAAATCAATGATTGTTGATACGTCAATCCGGTAGCTTTTATTGCCTGTATTTAATTTGTATCTTTTTTTAAAGGAGGAAATAAAAGTATCGATCGACGTACATAAACAAAAGAAAAATCAATATTTACATTTCATAATTTGTTTAAAATTCCAGGATTTAGGTCATTCATTACGAGCCGAAGAATTTTGGTTCTCGCTTGTTCTAACACTGGCTTCGGAAGTTGTATTCATAAGTCATTATTTTTATATAAAGTATGGCCGGAAAAACGATACCGCCATCGAAAACTTTATTATTATTTACTATAAGATTCATTACCATAATATTTTTACCTTTATTTCCTAAAGTTTTAACGCAATTCCACCAAGATTTGATACTTATTTCCATAAAGTTTTGGCATTCGTTTTCTAAAGTTATAGCACTCATCTACACGAATTAGTGTCGAAATGTATATACTGTATATATAATAAAAAACAACTTCATTTCTTGTAAATTTTATTACAACCACCAACTTTCTCTCTACTCCCACCGATATAATTGGTGTCGATTCCAATTAATTTTATTACTCGACCTTAGCCACACTTCGTAGTTTTATTATTACGATTATTATTATGATTTTTTTCCTTTATTTCCAACGAAACTTGGGTTACTTTCGGCGCAAAAACATCGATTATTAACGGAAATATGTAACACGCGTGACTAGGTAAGACAGCCACGTGACTTCCGGTACCGGACGACACCCGACTGGTACGCAGTCTATCGTCACTTTTAAATATCAATTTTTTAAAGTAATTTCTCCTTATTTTTAAATGTTTTTTCCTCTTTAAATCATAATATTTATTGAAAATAAATGATTAAATATCACGAGATTTTTATATTGATTGGAATATTCCGTGCGGGATATTTTATTTCTCCGCTTTTAACTCGGCATTTAAGTCACGTATTAAGCGGGATATACTTTTATTCGCGCATAAACTAAATTTCTTTGGATTTTTACAACACGCGACGACACAAAATTAAATAATTTATTTTATTTAAACAATTTAAACGTTGTTTCGCCCGTTAAACGTTTTTTTGTTTCTCGTTCTTCTCAAAGGATTATATATCGGGTAATTAGCCTATATATAAAAATATGGTATATGTAGTTGATTACATCGATGGAAACAGGAAACTGTCTCGGATAACACGTGACTTAGAAAAAATTTTTACTGGTTTAGGTCACATAATTAAGTACTTTATCCTTCTTAATATTCAATACTTTATCAAATTATAAGAGAAGAAAAATACCTAACTTATATACTTTTTTCCTCTATAGTTTCCGACCTTATCGTATATTATGCATTTTTTCATAAATATTTATTGTCCCGAAATTAATTGCTTCAGTTTTAACATTTCTAAGGCCGTAACGTCACAGTTTTAAGCGTCACTTAACTATTGTGACGTCTAGCCTGGCCGCTTTAATATTAACACATTTTCTGCTCTTTTTTTACGTTATTCTAACGCTCTTTAATTAAGCAAAACGAATCGCTATCCGTCGCTTTCCTCTTAATTTCTTTATAAAAGAAGAAGAAGGCACTTTACCTATTTACATCGACCCCGGTCGTTTCTAGAATGCTCCGCGCTCTTTCTATGTGTTGATGCTCTACGGCAGCAAACAATGCTAAAATTCGAAAGGACGGAATTAAAAGTTAATAGAGGACCTTTGAAAAATAACGAAGAAATAGGAAAATTTACCTTGAAGATCTATGTTAAATTTATTGACTTTCTCTAATCTCTTCCTTTCCGCTTTAGTTAGAGGAACACCTTCTAACAGCAACTCCATACTGCTCTGACGTAAACCGGCTATCGAGACAAACATTTCTTTAAATAGATTTTAAGCAATAACAAGTGTTTTACACATCGACTCTATAAAAGTTTTCATATAACATCGATTGTAATTTCCAGGTGGAAATTTTATAATTAATTATTAGATTACCGGATATATCCTTGGCTAATTTGCTGGGCATACTGGGGGATGTCGGTATTCCTCTTTTATGTGTTTCCAGCTTTGCGGGAATACTCGGCGAATTAGGAATGGTCTTATTAGGGACGGTCAAGCCACCGGAATTTATTGCGCTTTTGTCATTCTGCGACGTCGATGCTATATCGAGTGAATTATCAGAAACATCGCAGATCTGAACGGTATAACCGGGTGAAGCCACGTCTAATAAGCTGTCGATACTGTTGGCTTTTCTTAATTTTCTAAATCCAATTAAAATTATTCGTTATTATTTCTTAAAAATAAATGACAAAAGTAAAGAGTAACTTACTGTTCCGTAACGGGGGTTGTTGCCGATTGAACATTTTTATCCGATGTTTTCTCTTTGGGGGTTAAAAGTCGAGCTAATTTGGCAAATCCCGCTCTAGAACTTGCGCTAGACGATTGCTCGTATCTAGGAATTAAATTTTATTTACCTTCTTTACCCACTTTTAAATGAAAAAAACGTCAATATTTTGTCGCCCTTCTTACTTTTGTTTCGAACTATCTTTTCCTGTCGATTGATAAGAAGAAGTGGAACTCATAGAAGAAACGCTATGCCTGGGAGAAACGGTTGGCGATTTACACGAAGTTTTTACACCATTATCACCGACGAGCAGTTGCCATTCTGTAACACCATTAAAAAATATCAACAATAATTATTTGGTGATTTATAAAAATAAAATATTCCCTTATAAATCTTTAAATCCACGCAGAAATAATTATAGAAACTTATAACAAAGTATATTCCGTGTTAGGATACCACGTAACCGTGCAATAATTAAATAAAACTACTTCGTACCACGTAAATTTATATAAAATCAGGTTGGGTGCTTTTAGTTTTACATAAGTCCGAAAACATTAAAAATAGCTTAATTAGTAATAAATGTATTTTATAATTAAAATAATATCGACATTGGCAGCGGATTTATTAGTTAATTTTAATAACAAATAAAGTTTTCTTCATACTTTTCCGTTTATTTAAAGGATTTTATTTTATTATAATTGTATCTGACTCGTCGACCGGTAGATCGCGACTCCCTCAAACTAGAAAACCGCCTTTTTTCAGCAAAAAGATTGTCGAAAACACGAACAAATTGTAAAACGTAACCAAAGCATTTATATAAAGCGTACGAAAACCAAGAAATTTGTATATTTTTTGCCAAAATAAAAAAATGTGTCTGGTAAAGTGAGTGTAAATGTAATTAGAGAAGTTTGCGAGTCGTTAATAAAAGCATGATTAATGCTACTAAAATCTTTTTTTTCTTACCATAAGCCGATGTGGGAAATAATGACGACCAACTAAGAGCCCTGGCTCTGTTAATTGGAGGTTTTAATCCGTTATCATCTTCCTCCTCCTCCTTATCTTTTTCTACTAAGTCCAACGTATTGCCTCTGAGAAGGGTGATTTTTTGTACTTTCTTTAACACGTTCGGTATAGTCATGGCCGAAGTATTTTTACACGTCGCCGACGTGCAACGTTTAAAAGCCATCTTCTCAATCACTCAATTGATGTTATACTGGCGTGTGTAACACGTGTTTCCAACACGTTACCATGACAATGTCACTAATACATATCGAACGAATAGGGATGCCGCTTTGGCACTGACGTAATCGTCGCATCTGGACAATATGTTTTAGTTCCTGTCCGGAGAACACCCTACCGCATCTTTGACCATCTTCGGTAGTCCAGAACACAAATATTACCACTCGTTTCGTGTTTTCTTCGTTTAATACTAAGAATTATTTATCGAAGGTCATCGATCTCGAGCGCCCCAAAAACTGTAGGAGTTTTATAATTCTCGGTACAATTAGCATTAATCTCGTATTAAAAAAAGAAAACGAAAGTAAAAACGCTTCACTCCATCTATTCTCGACCGGTAGGTCGCCATCCCCCGAAGTCCGCAAACCGTACTCCCGAGTGCGTGGTAGGATCCTCCAGTAAAGAAGCGCCTTTGTAAACCGAATATTTGGAAAATATGGTAAAAAAGGCAATTACCTAAATGTGTTTTTACAATAATTGTTATTTTTTAAGCGGCGGAGTTTCTTATATTTATGAAAATTTCATAAGATATTCCGCACGCGTACGAAGGATTAATCGTTTTATCGGAAGTTTATAAATAAAAAATACCGTCGAAAGTAATTAATATATTAATAATTCGTGCGAATATTCTTAAAAGATAAATGTCAATTTAAATTTGCTACTGGAAAGCCGTAATCGGAACCAATATTTACAGTATTTAATTGCAAATTTCTTAGCGAAATTTTAATGGATATAAGTATATAAATTAATTCGTTTTAATACGAAATTATATATTTAAAGACTTTTAAGAAGAGTTTTACGTCATTTTTTATAATTAAAAATGATTTAAAAACTCCGAAAAAGTCCCAAAATGCGCGAAAGAAATGACGAAAAACAAAGAAGAATTGAATAAAAGTCATCTTACCCCGAAACAAATCGAGACAAAGTGGAAGAGGACGAGCCCAAGAAGATTTATTTGACATTAGCCGCACCATGATTTTTTGCTTTTGGATAAGTCCGGGGACGAAGACCAACATAAATACCAAAACAGCGTACGTCACCAAATAAAACAACCAATCGCCGATGCAAACAACAAAGGGATTCTTTCCAACGAATTTCATCCAACGTAAACAAACCATTAGTTTAAAAAATCCCTAATTATTCTAATAAATTCCCACATTTTCTAAGAAATCTCGCCTAAAAAATCTAACAAAATCTCGCGCAATTAATCTTCGATAAACGTATAAAATTTAATTTAATTTACATTAAAAAAATAAATTATAATTATTTAAAATTAATTAAATAGCGTTGGAAGTTTTTAATTTTTGCCAATTCTTAAAAAATTTAAAATAAAATAATTATTTCATTCGAATTAAAAGTAATTTTAACGAAAAGTAAATTACATTAATTATCCATTTTATTTATTTTAAACCGCGCAAGTGAATATAAAGGTAATTAAATCATAATTTAAAAAATTAAATAATGTATCATCTAATATATAAATATATTTTTCCAGTTAGTAAATTGATATATTATAAAAATACATAATTATATTATAATAAATTTTATTTTATAAATTATAACTTAATTTTTGTTATATTATACGCCTAATTTATGGAGCGGTTACTTAAATTTGGGGGTTTTTTTTCCCGCGCGCGTGTAGCACGATTTCATTCCCTGGCTTGGAAGTTTAATAACTTCCGTGTCTTTGGTCGAAAATATTTGAAATTTTGTAGGTAGGTTCGAGTATTAGGGGAAAACGTTTCTAGGAATTTTCGGAAAAATTGGACCGCGGGTTCGGGAAATACGGCCGCACCGAGAGAGACTTATAAAGGGTCTTTATCGGTGGCGATTATAAATTATTAGCCGGGAAAGTGTAGCCACGACTCGGCGGCCGTATATTTTTATAATTTATCGTATATAAATTTTCGTCGTAACTTCGATGTATTAATAATTATTACATTAACTGCGGAATAACTAACAATGGCGGTAACCTTAAAAAACAATTACGTAATTGTAATTACGATATAAAATTTATTACGCTAATTGTAGGTTTAATCGTTAAGGAACTCCGAAACTTTACCGTTAAAGTTTTATAATTAAAACTCTATAAAAGAAAATAACATTTTAAGCGGAGAAGAAATTGAGGTAAACTTCATTTTTATTGCTATTTTGTATGTTTAATAAGAATGTTATTAATAGAGGAGAAGGTGGTATTATGGAACACTGCGGGTATTATGGAACCACCCCGTTTCGAACTGATAATAAAGGCGAACTGTAGCGGAATGTGGCTGAACTGAAGTAGGCAGACATCCATAGCAAGGGGAAAACCCGTTTTACTTCGGTTAAACGGTTGTCCGTATTTAATCAGCAAATTTGTCTTTTTTTTTAAAATTCGCGAGTTTTGAATGCTAAGTGAATTTAATTATTTTTAAAAATATAAATCGTGTAGTTGTAGGTTCACTGGTGCATGTATTCCATTCCAGAGACTTAGGGGTACCTATTAATCTGTGCGATGTTCACGTTTTTTAAATTTTGGTCTTAACAGACGTAAGTTAATTCGAGATGGCGATGCGTGAAATACGGACCCCATTGGTGCTTTTACAGTAATATGGAACTCGACTCCTCCGAACACTCTTTTTGCAAGCAAACATTCGTTCGGAGCAATTTGTGAAAAAGACACTAGGTAGAAAGTCAATTCTTCCCGAGAATATCGAAAAAGAGCTGCCGGAATATATATTGTTGATGGAGGTCATATTTTTCTATTATAAAAGCATTTTTGCGATAAAATACATTGGAGTAAATAATTTGGTAATTATTTAACATTTTTTATCCTTTCCTATTTGTTTTTGGCTACATTAAAGCATTTTTTTGAAAATATACAGTAAGGTTCCATATTACCACCCGATTTTCTCTAAGCCTACTTTCGGACTTTTTGTACAAAAGCCTTCAAAAACCATACTTATAATTACACTAG